TCACGTCCGCAACAACTTCATTTTTCTTGTCCAATAATTATTTTTGAATAGATTCGCTAACAGGCCTGATAATACATGCGAGCACCAAGTCCCTAGAGACGCACCTGACGCTTTTTTCCGACACTCGCCGCTGACGGGGCAGTCAATGGAAAAGGATATTTAGGAACGCCCACGGGCAAACATAGAGAAGAGGCAGAGTAATAATGCGTCGTCCAGAGCGGCCATGCGCTGGTTCCTTCCATTGCTTGACTAATCGCCGCTCTAAATTTTAAACGTCGCGTGCAAACGTAATACTAAGTCTGAACGCGATTTTCTCGCATTTCAATTTCTAAATCTAAGAATTTCGATTCTAATTTTAAATCCAAAGCATTAATTCAATTTTTAAATCATATGGATATTTTTATTCTCTTAGCTTTATTCATTCTACCGCTAATAATAATATCTTAATTCATCCTAACGCTAATAATAATATAACCACTATCGAATATTAACGAAAGCGATCGTGCGTGCTTATTGTTGTAACTCGAACTGCAACTAAATTCGCCCAGAGAGCAGTAGAAGCCTTGGTACTCTGATTACTTTTTTCACTGGCATTCGAGAACACTAGAAGACATTTGACCGGACACCTCAAGGTAAGAAATTTTTTTCCGGCAATTGGAATCCGCCAATGAATTGCCTTTAGCATGTGTCTCACGTATCCGCATTCGTGCGCATCCATCGACACTCGAATCTTGGCGGTTAGTTCGTTCTCCACGTGGTTACATAGTGCATGTTGCGTATCTTCGCGTATTTTTCCAACATACGCGGTACTATCAAATATCCTGAATGTTATACTTCCGCGCTGCAAAACGAAAAGAAAAATTATTAAGGAGTATTACGGCATTATATTCATTTGAGGCTCTTTGAATGTTTCAAATCCTGTATGCTCTATATTGACTCACTCTGCATGCCGTCGCAAATTGCCCCGACTGTTCCGAAGTATTAGAGAAATTCGTCGCTTATCTAGAGAGAATGGAAGAGCAATCGTGAAATGATTCGGAATCCACTATAATTGGGATATCTAGCGCTCTAGTCTTTAATCAGTCGGTAACTCGGACAAATTTTATTACGATTCTCTTTGATACGCGGAACACACCCATAGTCTCAGGTTAGTTCGAAATCGGGGAACGGGCCGAGCCTCCTTGAGACGTAACAATAGGTGCATTCAGAAGCACGACTCACTGAGCGCTTATTGAGCTTTTGTACCTGTTTGGTCTATATTTTTAGATCTAATAGAATATGCCAATCAGATGTACGAGCTCACTGAGTGCTCACTGAGCGATCGTGCTACTGGATGCATCCAATATTCTCGTCATATTCAAGTGTGATTGGTTAATTCATACAATTACGGCAAGTACAACATAATAAGGACCAACCAACTATAGTCGAGCATTCTCCTGATATTCGACTGTAACAGGGGAATACTCGAGTTGGTTGGTTCTTACATTCTGATCCGGTTTAAACCTTCAGTGGAAACTAGACCACTGTTGAAGTTGTATGCCT